AATCTATTCAACAAGATTCTCCCAAGAAGGAAGGCCCTCGAATAATTTAACTTGCTTTTCCTTTTTGCTGGTGTGACTGCCACACACTAACAGCATCGTCAGGCCACAAATCCTGTGTTTCTAAGATAGCAGCTTCAGGCTCATTTTATAACATTGATGTGCTAAGTAGGGGCTGCGTGGAATTCTTCAATTAATACCAGAGAACTTGGTAACAGCGCAGGTAACTTCGATACCCAGAAAGCACAGTGATCATAGCCTGCACGGTGATCACAACAAGGACTCTCCAAGCTCCTTAAATATGCACTAATCACCCCTATGAACATCACAGCTTGCTTTTAACAAAGATAATGTATGTTACTGGGATTACACAGCTGAACACAGAATCTCTAAAGAAAGATAGACCAGAATTTAAGAATAAGCTGTTGAGCAGCAAGGTACTATTTTAACCATAAAAATCACAATCTGCCAAGGCAGTGACCAAAGCACAGGAACCATTAGAGACTCATAATTAGCATCAATCAAGGTGACACTACAGTTGACATCTTTATTACTTTAAACACACCAATCAAATGCTTTGGCATTGAGATGGGATGCTTGATAGGCAGCTAGACATAGAAATCATCCTTCTGGAACAATTTGCGATGATGTGTTTGGAAGGAAAGAAGAAAGTATTAGTATTAATAAAGAACAACTGAAACACGAGGGTCTGAAGAAGAGCTCAAGCAGGGACTACCAGAGGTCTGCAGTCCTCCTGCACATGCAGCATCCCCAAGGTTCTCTCAGGAGACATTGAGATATGTCCTTGTCATCTACTAATGCACCGGGCTGCATTCATAGCTACCTTGGGATTCCCACCACGGGCTGCAGGTTGGACAGTGAATACATATTTGCATGTTCCCTCTGTGAGACCCATGGGATGGTGGATGAAAACGTAACGCAGGGAAATGTAAGCTTCAAAAGACTGTCCTAGCCACAAATAAATAGCCAAACACTCCTGCCAAGCATTAACTTATTTTCTAGGATCCTCTTATACACGTGGAGATGAGAGATGAAGGGAGAGTGAAACTAGGTGTTATTTATAAAATTACTATTGGGATGTCAGTGCTATCTATTTGCGTCTGCACTGCCACTTCATGTCATATAGACTCTGATACACTGTCACCATCACGGCTCATATAAATATCTCTGTCTTAATGAACAAGACACTGTTCAGATATTTTCCACCCTTGAAGTACATATGGCCTGTACCTTAATGACAGCAATTTTCAAAAAGGAATCTTTTCTCATAATAGTTTCCCGATGTTCAATGTTCACTAGCTGAATTTTTGAGGCGAAGGCCCTGTAACATAAAGAAAGGCCGGAAAGTCATGTTCTAATAGCTAAACTGGTTTGGAAGTGACTCAGAATGATGGATGAAGACCTGGCAAGGAATCCCCAAGGGTGCTGCTTCACTTTCACCAAATGAGATTTTGGTGGCAAACACTCTTGTCCTGAAGGTGAATGTGAGTCTCATAATCATTTTGTTTCCAACAGTAGGTTTTATTTATAGTGTTCTACATTGGTGTATCCATCCCCAGGTTTTAAAATAAAGATTGCCTTTCTTTTTTCTGAGACACTTGCCTCTTTATAAAGAAAAGTGTGTGTGTGTGTGTGTGTGTGTGTCCATCAAAACCAGTGAGAAGTCTAAGGAGATTCCCCACTGCTGTTCCCACTCAGTGAAGGGAAGAATGAAAACAGATGAGTGACAGGGACAACTGGAAAAAGCAACTCACAATTGCAAGGATCCTCTGAAGGAGTGGCAGAGAACTCAAATACTATCCCATTCCTACGTCCATGGTCAAGGACCAAGGATTTTCTATATAGCATGACATCCTTACAGAGGCAAAGTAAAGGTGAAAACTATCGCATTGACTAAATGTCACAATTGTTCCTATATGGTCATAATACTGCAACTTCTGAAAAGTGCCACCACCACTTGATGATTCTCACAAATGACAGAAGCAAACTCTTCTGGCCTCTAAGAATGGAAGCCAATAGGGAGAAGAAATGGGTCAGTGCTGAAGAGCAGTTCCAGAGAATCCGGATTTGGTTCCCAGCATCCGTTTTGAGTAGTTAGCTACTGACTGTAACTCCTGCTCCAGGGAATTTCACATCACATTCTGCCCTCTTCTGGTCAGCACAGGTACCTACACAGAGTGGCATATGCAGACGCATACACATAAATAAAATAAAAATAAATCTTTTATTAAAAAAACTGAAGAACAGTGCTTAGCTGTGGGTGTCTGCCTCTGCTTCCATCAGCCACTGAATGAAGGCTCTAGGATAGCATTTAAGGTAATCATCAATCTCATTATTGGGGATAGGGGGAGGGGGCATTTAAGATAGCCTCTCCACTATTACTTAGTTTGCCAGTTGGTGTCATCCTTTTAGATCTCTAGAAATCTCACTAGTGCCAGATCTCTCCTATAATGGCTCCCTCTATTATGGTGTCTCTCATCCTGCTCTCCATTCTTCCCCCTCAACCTCCCTGGAACCCAGTTGCAGAGAGGAAGGAATGATGAGCAAAGGGGTCAAGACCAGTCTGGTGAAGCCCACAGAGACAGCTGACCTGAACAAGGGGGAGCTCATGGACCCCAGACTGATGGCTGAGAGGCCAGCAAGGGGACAGATCCAGACTCCCTAAATCTGGGTGTCAGTGAAGAGCCCTTGGCAATCTAGTAGATCAGTATTTATCCCAGGCATACAAATGGACTTTGGGAGCCCATTCCACATTGAGGGATGCTCTCTCAGCCTGGACACATGGGGGAGGGCCTAGGCCCTGCCCCGGATGATATGACAGACTTTGGAGATTTCCCATGGAGGGCCTCACCCTCCCTAGGGAGCAGAGTGGGAACTGGGTGGGAGGTTGTGGGTGCTGGTGGGGGGCAGCGGAGGAAGGGAGGGAGATGGAGCTAGGATTGACATGTGAAGCAAGCTTGTTTCTAATTTAAATGAAAAAAAAGTTCTGGAAAGGGAAAATGGAATTTCTAGGGGTTTATTTTATTTGAATAGTTAATTCAAATACAGGCAACTCTGCTCTAAATAGCCCTTGACAATTATCTTTTGTTAGACTTTAATGCTAAAGATTTGACTATGTTTGCAAAGCGTTGCTATCCTTTTTAATACCATGCCTCTACTTATTAAAAGTTTAAATGTGAAAAAAAAAGAACAGGAGCACTTTTCATCTGCGTTGGAGTTTATACTCTACCGTGGTGTTTTCCACACATTACCTTTTATCTCAACCCCATGAAGCAGAGAGTTCTTTCCACCTTGGAGATGGAATAATAAGACTTCTGGTGGGTGCCTGGATAGGCCTTCTCTCTAGCCACCAGCTGCCTTCTCTACTAAATCATACTGAGCCCAACTTGTTTCCAAATGTTCCATCAAGGAGAGAAATCAAATCATAGATAATGATTCCCTACAGTAAAGATAAAATTTGAAGGATATTTATGCCAAAAGACAATTTCTCACAAAGAACCACAGATGAGCACTGACCACATAGAATCTAAGTCCAGTGTCACCCTGACTTGCTGGGATTGCTCATCTGACTACTGGAAGCCAAGCTTTTGTTTTTCACTCTAAGGAGTTCTTTGATTCTCACTGACGCACAAGGATTGTGGAAGGTTGTGAAATACTACATGAGGCTGACCTTACCACTTATGGAAAAACTGCCAGTCAGACATACAATGTCTACTAATAATGAGTCAGGGACAGACTCCCCAATATCAAAAGCCTTTATATAGAATCTTTTACAAAGGAGCTTGGTGTAAACAAGGTTTCAGAGCTAGGAAATGACATAAAAGAGGACAGTCACTTCCTCATCAGAGAAGACAAGTTTGCCAAAATTTGATGTGTCTACAATTCTTTTTAAAAATGGCATAGGAAATTTGATCAGGAAATATTACCATTTAGAACCAAATGAAGAACTATTTAAAGGCTACTCCAGTCAAGTAGTTCAGAGCATATTGATACGTCTAATTAAGGTCTAGTTAATACCATCCATTTGGCATCAAAAATAGAGGGGGAAAATGTCAACAATGCAAAGTGGAAATGGAAGAGTCAGAGGACAAAAATAATCAAATGTGAAACGCATAGTATATGAGAAGAGTAAGAAAGTTGTCCTCACAATACCTAGGAAGCACTGACTCCAAATACATGGCTTGCTGTCTGTCCTGTGTTCTCTTTCATAAGATCTTCAGAGGTCTCTTAGCTCATTGTCCCAGGAATGAGTCAGGTAACACAGCTTCAGTCTTAAGTTGACTAGAAACATTAATTTATGTGAACCACAGGGACTTTCTTAATCATTAAATGCTGGTAAAGGTATTTTTCAATATAGTCTGTATCATGCCATCATCATCTATAGAAAAACAATGAGCTGTGAACCCTAAGGATATGGAGTTAGTGGACAACAATTTGAAAAACTGTTTAATCAATTGGAATTCTCATCAGGAAAAATGTTATCCCAGTCTCATAACAGATACCCCCAAGAAGTAATCCCCCCACCCCTGTGTGTGTGTGTGTGTGTGTGTGTGTGTGTGTGCTGTATATACAGGTATGTATAGATGTGTGCACATGTGTATGGAGGAGAGAGTTCAATGTCAGGTGTCTTCTTTGATTGCTTTTTACCTATTTTTTTTAGACAGGGTCTCTTACTGAACCTGGAGTTTATTGATTCCTCAGGTCTGACCCACCAATTGTTCCAGGGTCCTGCATGTGTCCACCTATTCAGCACTGGAGTTAAAGACTCACTGTGGACCCTCACTTTCAGGTAGATGTCCATGGGCACCACACCAGTAGAGCCATCTTCCAAGTGCTGCAAGAAATCATTTTAACCATTGCTGTAGTTATTTTTCTAATGGGACAGGTCAGTGTATATAATTTATTTTAATATTTGGCAAAAAATTTGTCTGTGTCCAATGATAACCAATATAAAGTACACAGGAAAAAAGATGGCCATTGAAGAAACACAAAAATACAGGTTTATTCATTGTATACCCTTTTGTTGTTGACAATTAGTGGATAGAGGCTAGGAGAACTGAGTGCCAAGACTCCAATCACACAAACATAAAAAGAACTGCAGAACAATTTGAGAATCAAAGGTGCAGTATTCTACTGGTCTGATTTTGAAAATAAATTTCATATAAAATACCAATACCACTTTCAACACTCTGAGAAAGTTGTGTGGCTGGTGGAGATTCTGTATAGTCCACTGAAGCATTATTGAAAAAACAAGATTCTGAAACAAAATGGAGAAACTTTATCTGATATGCACCACTCAAAGAAGCACATACATTGGGTTATTCACAACTGGTCAGTTGCAGAACACAACATCAACAGAAAATACTATTTAAGACAATCTAGCAGAATTCTTCCCTCTACCCTGCCTAGTATGTTAACTCAGTTAGATGTTATATTGTGGATAAAGAGCTCACATGGAAAGCAACACACAGTTATGCAAACATACAAAAAGGGAAACCTCTACACATAATATTCCACCTATTTCCCAATTATAACAACACCCATCTACCAAAGACCTCAGTTACAGACGTGTATTGATTGCTAATTTTCTTTAACTGGATAGGACAAAACAGCAAAGACACACACCCCAGCTCTCAAGGATTCTAGGTCAAAACTATAAGCCATAACCTCTGCCACATTAAATATGAATGAGCAGAGATTAGATGGTCTCTATTGTTTTGCCATGCACTGATTCCCATAAGTGGTTTGCAACTGTCTTACAGAGTACACCCCCTTTATATTCTTTATATCCTGTTTTATTTTTTCAATTTTGTTGGCAATGTGATTCACTGTACAGCAAATAAGAGTGGATCATGTCTAACTTAACAGTGATACAAAACCTTGGGAACAGATACACTACTAACACCGACACAGAACAATGACCTTGAGTTTATACAGTACTGGTTAATTTTTGTTATTCTCTGTATTTTTTGTAGCATGTGCAGGGCTTAGAATAGGTTTCCCATTGATTACTATCTTTGTTTCATCTAAGTAAATTCATATACTACAGACTGGACAGGTTGACAGAACATTTACACTACCCCATCTGAGGCTCGGGGAACATAGTAGAAGTGGAAATGGACAGGGACAAAGTCTGCAAAATGCTGCTACTTCCAGGACATGATCTAACAGCAGCTGAGGGGGCCTGCACTGACTTGTACAAGATTAGGCTTTCCAACAGTCAGTCATGGATTGGGGAGGGGCCTTATGGGGCTATGGTGGATTTGGGGGAAGGGAAAATCATTATCTTTACTTTGAGCCAACCAAGCTCCAGTGGATAATTCCAAACCCACGGTAACACTGATGGCCCTGGTTAAAATCAATGGTTCATAAAACAGAGAGACATGAATGTGTGAAATGGACCCGTAGGGATGAGGAGGAAGGGTAACAGGGCTGGAAAGGAGATAAGAGAGTTGGGGGGGGAGGTGAGAATAACCAAAACACACTATATGAATTCATCAGAGTAAAATCGATCAATAAAAAGAGTTTTGACTAAAGAAATTGCAAGAATCAACTTCATACTAAATGTGAGGAGGGTATTTTTATTTTAAATGCATCTTGATAACACTTGAAGCAACATTTTTTTAAGATCTAAAAACAATGTTCAAGAGGAGCTAACAACCATAGCCAAACCGTTACAAAAAGAGTACACATATGGTTTCCAGAAGCAAACAAGAGGAGGCCCGATGTCATGGCGCTGGTGGCAATTCCTGAGCATGGGAGGAAGACTGCAACTCTGTGCTGTTCTTTCTTCTTTTTCCCCTCAGCTACCTGCTCTTGGACAGGGATGCCAGTTTGTCACCTGAAACATAAACATAACAGTGTTGATATTACTTTGCTGTGTTACAGTAAGGAGAGAGGAGAGAGCAGTAAACAGTGTGAGTGCACCATAAAACATTACAAATACATAAATTATAAATGAGAACACTATACATATGTAAGTTATAAACAAACAGGAAGCCAGACTAGTGTGATGATTTGAAATGTCCTCATTATAACACAGATGTGCAAGAAGTATTTTTTAATTGTTTCTTTCCCATTACATAATTGACTTCATGTTGCTCAAAACTCTTCATTCTCACATGGTGCTAAAAATATAAAATGAAACTAAAAAGTTGTATGCTTGTTTCTTCCAACTCAGGTGCAACAGATAATAGCAAACCTGAAGTCAATTGTAGGTACATGTTTGTTTGGAGGCCATGATCTCTCTGCTCCTGTGCTTTGATGTTCTCCTGGCACCATCTCAAGAGGAAGTGCAAGCAGCACTGTGATGAAGAGAGAAGCATCTGTTACCATCACTGCCCATCCTGGGTGAGCAGGCACACTTGGAGTAGGTCACAGCTCACCATGCCTGTGGCAGTGGCCTGTGCCTTCACTGTATCTGTGTCTGCAATGGCCAGCTCAGCAGAGGTACAGCAAAGCTGCAGCTGCCTGTACCCTCAGCAGACTACGCTCCTCCCCTCAGGTCTTTTGAACACATAGACCTCAGTTTGAGAATGGCACCCTGTAGTCTCTGCCTCAGATTCCCCTTGCTTTTGCTACTGATGCCCTACATTCAGTATGTACAGATCTTCTTACACACTCATCTGACACTCTCTCACACCAACAAAACATCTGGGTTGATTCTGAGACATGAAACAACTCTTTTCTTATTAAAAATAGATTTTTCTGCCCATGGAGGTGGTCGCACATGCCTTTAATCCCAGCACTTGAGAGATAGAGGAAGGCAGATCTCTGTGAGTTTGAGGCTAGTCTGGTTGACAGAACTAGGACAACCAAGGCTACACAAAGAAATCATGTCTCAAAAAAAAAAACAAAACAAAAACAAAAACTGATGAACCAATCAAACAAAAAGATTCTTCTATCCTAGAATACTTCCCAGGTACAGTTTCCCCTCTCTCCACTCCTCCCAGCTTCCCCATCACCCCTATCTCCCAGATCCACCCCCCCCGCCTGTTTCCTTTCAGAAAGGAGTAGGCAAAATGACAAAACAAGATATGATAAACAAGACAAAAGCCCTCATATCAGTGCTGGACAAGGCAACCCAACAGGAGGAAAAGAGCCCCGAGTGTGGGCAAAAGAGTAAGAGATACAGCTGTTCCACAAAACTTAAAAGGAGTTCCACAAAAGCACCATGCCTACAGCCATACCATCTACTCAGAGAGTGGCTTTTCTTAGTAGTCCCCTTTTGACTTCTATGGTCTGTATCAATGTGCATTTGAGAAACATTAGAAGTATTTCTGCAAAGGTCCATAGCGGAAAGAAGGGACAGCTTCCTCTGCTTAGGTCTTCTGCCTCAACCTTCGCCCTAATCTAGATCTGGAAAGTGTTCCAAAGGTCCACATGTTAAAAGTTTTCTTCTCTAGTTTGTCTGTTTGCTTTATGTGTACGGTGTTATATCCCATGGAACTGTAGCTACAGATGGCTGTAAGCTGCCATGTGAGTGCTGGGGATTGAATCTGGGTCCATTGGAAGAGCAGCAAGTACTTTTAACTGCTAAGGCACCTCTCCAGGCTCCAAAGATCGCATTTTCAGAGGTGCTTATTTAGGTGTGTGTGTGTGTATGTGTGTGCGTGTGTGTGCTTGTAGTGCATGGTGCCACAAAGCCTTTAAGTGTGTGTGGGGGAGTGTACTTGTAGTGTGTAATGCCCACGAAGGACAGAAGACACCCTGGAGGAGGTGATTGTGAGCCACTTGATGTGGGTGCTGGGAACCTGCCAGGTCTTTTGAAAGAGCAGCAAGAGATCATTACACCTGAGCCATCTTAAAATCCTTTAAAAGGACTTCTCAGCCAAGTTCAAGAGCACATTCATTCTAGCATCTAGACTGTACTTAACCCTACTCTTTAAGCAATAGAGGCTGGGGCATTCAGCCCCAAGAGTGCAGCTGTAAACAGCAAAATTTGTAGGAAAAAAGTTTAAAAGCATTATGAAATATTTTAAATCAATCTTTGTTGCATTGGATAAACATTGCAGGAGTACAGGTTTCAAGAGCTCCTAGAATAGAGGAAATATCACCCTGGAGCACTGGCCCTCAACCTTTCTAATGCTGAGATCCTTGAGTACATACAGGTCCTCATGTTGTGATGACTGCCAACCATAAAATTATTTTCGTTGCTTTATAACTGTAATGTTGCTGCTGTTATGAACCATAATGTAGATGTTTTGGGGATAGGGGTTTGTCGAAGGGATTACAACCTATGGGTTGTGAGCCACTGCTCTGGGTAATAGCAATTATATGTGACAGATTGATTAATTTTGAACATGAAAAAAGGACAGGCTCTAGGTTGATAAATTATTTTTTCATAGTGAGGTACAACACCATGGAGGTAACAACAAAATTAAAACTCAACAATTTGCATTGTTGCCTCAGAACTCTTCTCACAAGTTCCCTGGCAAAGTCTGTGAATTACTGTCCTTTCCTAAGCTTATGTGCAGACACACACACACACACACACACACACACACACACACAGATGAAGCAAGAGAAATCCCCAGCATTACAGTCTCTCATTCAATGCTTCCTTTGTTCAACTAACATTTATTGAATACTTCCAATGTTTTGTTACAACAAATACTGTGTCAGGAATTGGATCTCAAATGGAGAAATGTCTCCATTTTAATTAAATCACAGTACAGTGGTAAGGCAGACAAATATAATTATATCTAGGCAAACCCAGTGTAAAATTCTAAATACCTTGGATGTTTAAGGTGCCCAAGTCACTTTTTCATGATTCAACTGTTACTAGGATTGTCTAGGTAGAAGTTTGATTGCATACATAGAGATATTAAGGACATAGTATCAGGACAAACCCCACGACAATAGCCAACTGAAAAAGAAAGTACACAATGTTACAGAAGTCATGAGAGCCAACCTTTTCCATATCTTTTTCAAGTGTCCCCACTGTTTCATTTGTCTACCAGGCCATGCACTACAAACTCTGAAGCAGTCAGAGTTGTTGGTCCTAGTTTGCATCCCACAGCAGTTATTAAAGAAATCATGTGCTCATTATTCCAGTATTAATGAATTAGCATTAATGATCCACTGGAATGAGATAATCAAAATGAATTGCAATTATGGCATATGTGTTCTATAGGCCTTTGAACACACACACTTTCTCTGTCATATACACAGAGTATTAAAAAATAAAATTGGCAAACTTCGTTAAAATGTTTTCCCCAAATACAAGACTCTCTAGCTAAAGAGTAACTGCAGTACTTCGAGTACCAAATGCAGTAAAGCAGAAATTAACATTAATATTTCATCTCTGTCCCTACAAATCCTGAAACTAAATACATTTCCTGAAACACGAAGTTCTTTCATTTAAAAGTCGAACTTCATAGGCTGCTGCATCACTTAAACTATTAATTCTAATTAAAAAGAAAAATACAATTATTCCCCTAATACCAACATAGTTTAGGAATATTTTAGTAAAGGAAATAAAAACCCACAGACATTTTTCCTCTTGGGGAGCATAGGCATTTATATAACCCACCATGGAATTATATATATGCTAATTACATGCTAATGTAAACATGAAAAAAATGTTATATGGAAATTGCAAGCTGAACCAAAAACATGCAAATGCAAGAAAAAAGTCTGCTTGAAAACAATGTCTGCCATCTTGCTTATTCATGTGTAAACATCCAATATGCTCAAGATTTTGACATCTCAATTCATCTTGGGGTTTGGATCAGCTATAAATATGTGACCTTTAACTGTGTGATTGATTTGTCAAAAATTCTGGAACCTTTTACATATGAGTCTATCTTGATACAAATACAGACAGTTTTATGCTTCCACATTTTAAATGATAACTTCCCCAGGAAATTAAGAAGCCCTCAACAAAGACTGTGTTATCCGACTCGTTTATTCAGCCGTTCACACTCACAACTGTTTCTCACAGTAGAGATCATATTTGTAATCTTCCTTTGTTCGCAGCAATGTTCTCCAATGTGCTTAAAGGAAGCAGTCTATAACATTCTGTGATACTTGGAAGATGGCTCAAAGTGCCTATGGTACAAACATGAGAATCTGAGTTCAGAGCCCCCACACCTACATAAAAGCCTAGTTCCAACAGTGCGTGTCTGTAATTCCAGAACTGGGGAAAAGGAGGGATGGAGAAAGGAGTATCTCTGGAGCCTTCTGGTCAGTCAGCCTAGCTGAGTTGATGAGCTGTAGGTTCAGAGAGACCTCATCTCAAAAACACATAGCAAAAACAACCAAAAGAGAGCTCTTGGTGAACTCTGTCCTTCACAAGTCCACACACAAGTACAAATGCATATACAAGAACACAAACGTGTTTATGGACCCACACTCACACCCCATCTGTGCCTAAAAGAGGGCAAAGGAGGCTCCATTCTCCCATTCATATCCTGACACTTAAGCAAACTTCTCTATGCAAAATATCAGGGAAAAGAAAGACATGTGTGTTCCATGGCACACGTTCCAAGCATTTCCTCCATGTTTTTGTGCCCTCTGGCAATGAACTAGCTTCTGCATCTGGCAAACACATGGCAAAAATGAGGCCAAGTATGGCCAGTGAACATAGCCAAGTTCTTTCATGTGACCCAATGTGACAGCCAACCCACAGTTCCAAATGACAATTCAATTTCCAAATGAAACCTTCACTTTTCTAGTATGTATTAGTATTGACATATAGGTGTAAACACATCCAACTCATCTGTTTGGAGTTAAAACCAACACATGCCAAAAAATAACATACTGCCAAAAGTGGCTCAGCCCATATACGTGCTTGACACCAAGTCTAATGACCTGGGTTTGATCTCCAGGACCCACATGGTGGAAGGAGAAAAGGAACCCCTAAAATGTATCCTCTGTCCTGGCCACATACACCATGGCACGCTCACAGAGAAACACAAAAATGCAGTATAAAAATGTAAGTGTCTATTATAGTCCTGTCAGTAAAGATGGTGGATATCTGGCATAAGGTGGATAGTATCGAAGTGGGCCTATGCAGATAATCTCATCCTCAGCGATGCTGAAGTTTAAGGAAGAACAGGATGCTTCATTGACTTTCACTAGAGAAAGACTAGAGAGATGGCTTAGAGGTTAAGAGTGCTTACTGTTCTTCCAAAGGGCTTAAGCTCCCAGTCCCAACATCAGTTAGATCACAACTACCTGTAACTTCAGCTCTGGGATATATGACATCTTCTGGACTCCATGGGTGTGTGTGTGCTCTCTCTCTCTCACACACACACACACACCACACACACACACACACACATACTAATGTGCTAGTGATAAACTTAGATAAATGCATACATTATTAAGTATATTCTTACCACATGTTGGCTGTCTGGAAGCCTCTACTACCTATGCAATGTTGATACAGGCACTGACATTCACATAGTCCTAGCTTTTTATCAGATCATGTAATGGTTCTAGAGATGTCAGGAGGAAGCCAGAAGTCTCCTTCTGGATGGAGTTTCAACTTCATTTTTCTTCTCTTTTTCAAGCCATTGTTCTGTGGAGTAAAGATGGGCTGATTGAGTTGTGTATGTTACAGGTTTCACATTAGAGTGACAGTTGTTTCTTGCAGCACTACCAAGCAGCTATATTCTGACACTTGTATATCAACACACATCAGCAAACATGAAGCAACTTTTTCTTAGCTGGCATAGCCACAAAAAATCCGCACTCTGAATGTGAGATTAATAGATGCATCTGTAAACATAGCATGTTTTATCCCACATATGGAACACACTAAAAAATGAGTAAGTTGGGTATTTCTTAAAGTACCAGAAGCAACTAATAAGACACAAGTATTGTACTTTCAGGAAACTTCCATAAAGCACAGAGGAGATACACTGACAAGCTTCCTTAGGCCATCATCTTTATTTGTTTTTCTCTAATAATGACAAACTTTTCTTATTCTACTGGGTTCATCGTGTCTTAAAAACAAACTCAAACTAATTTTATCCTTAAAACACACCCCTGGGACTCATAGGATTGTAAACTTCTTGCTGTACAAGCATGAGGATCTAGGTTCAGATTGACAGCATCCATGTTAAAAGCCAATGGTTAAAAGCATGTACCCTTGTGTAGAGGACTTATACCAAGTCAGCCTAGTCACAGTGCCTGTAATTCCAGCTCCAGGGGATCTATCATCTCTGGCCTCTATGGGCACCCCTGTGTTCATGTATATACCTCACCAGACATACACATACACATAATCAAAAGTAAAACAACCAGACGATTTAAAATAAATAAAAGAAACAAAGCCAGGCATCAGTGTCACACCCATCCGTCATCTCAGCACTAGGGAAGCACAGATATGCAGATGCCCAAGACTCAGTGTGTAGCCAGGAAGGCTGAATGAGTAAGCTCCAGATACAGTGAGAAACCCTGTCCCAAAAACAGGTGGAGTGTCATCAAGGAAGACACCTGGCATCAACCTTTGACTCAAGACACATGCTAACACACATAGACATGCATATAGTCACTTGAACAAATACACAGGAACACACACACACATTGCATGCAAATGCATACACATATACATTCTTAACTTCATGGGCATTCCCTACAGGATGCACCAGTTCTCTTTGTATTCAAACATTTGAGAGAAAGCATTTTTTTTTAGCTGATGCATCCTCTTTACATTCATTTCTGAATCCCTGCATCCAACAGTTAGAGGCTCCAATCTTACAATTCTAATGGAACTGCATACTGCTAAAGACACGGATAATTTTCTAAATCCAGTGAACATCTTTCATGGCTGACCTGGTTGAACAACTCTGTTAAATGTGATCTCGACTGCTTGATCTTTTTTCTAAACCCACACATTCCCATCGGCGTTTCCACCAATATCAGATGAGCCTGCCCTTCCGATTTGCCTCAAACCTTTCAACATCCCCACTCCCCTGTCCCTGGAGTGATGTACAAGGTTAGGAGGATTCTGGAAACAGGCTATCTGGGCTCAAAACTCAGTTTTCACATTTCCTGGCTGTGAGACTCTGGGCCACTCATTTCATGTCTCTTAGTCTCCATTCTGAAAACTGGGAATCATTCTAGTGTTGGTCACTTGTTTCCTTAGTAATGGATTTGGGGACAGAATTCTCTGCTATGTTGATTAATTAGGCACAGGCTGAGTTTTAGGCTTTGGAAATTGGACCTTGCTGTGCATCCTGCTTTATCTCCATCTATACAGCTTGGCCCAAGATTTATTCCCACCCCGTATCTATGGAAGAGGAATTTTTTGTATCTTGCCCCGAGAAAAAAAAGTTTCTTGTTCTTCTTCATGTAGTTCAGGCTTCTACCCATAGGACAAGAAGATGACAGAGAAAGGACTATGCTCCCTTTCTCTGTATGCACACAGAAAAAGACTGTTTTGACATAGATCTCGCTAGGATGCCCACACCGACCCTGAACTCACAATTTTCTTGCCTGAGCACAACACTAGTTTCCCCTTACTGTTTTGAAAAAACTGATTTTTAAGTCAGTAGACAAAACACTAGAAATTGTTATAGTATTCCTGTGTTTCTGTCACCCCATTTGGTTTTCTTTCATCTCATCCCTCCACTCTCTTGATGGTCCCCTTCTCCCTTTCTGCTTTTATGATGGGCACATTCCATCACCCTTTCTAGTCTCCTTGCTTAATATTGATCCTTTTTTTTGTTTGTTTGTTTGTTTTTTTTTTCAAAGACATGGTTTCTCTGTATAGGCTTAGGTGTCCTGGAACTCACTCCATAGATCAGGATGGCCTCAAACTCACAGAAATCCACCTGCCTCTGCCTACCAAGTGCTGGGATTAAAGGTGTGCACCACTATTGCCCAGTAAGATTGCTCCTTCTCAACATTCTCTCTCTCTCCTTCTCTCTCTCTCCCTCTCTCTCTTTCCCTCACTCCCTCTCTATCTTACCCCCCCCACACACACATGCAGAGCACATGAGTGAAAATGTTAGTATTTGTGTTTCTGAGTCTGACCTATTTCACTTCACCCAATGATCTTCCGTTACATTCATCTCTGCAAGTCTTGTTTTGTTTTTCTTTATGTATGAAAAAATCCCATTGTGTACACATACCATGTTTTCTTTACCCATTAATCTATCGATGAACACCTAGGCCCATTTGATTTCCCTGCTATTGTAAGCATTGCAGCAGCAAACACTGATGTACAGGTGTCTCTTTTGAATGCACATCCTGCATGAGCTAAGTGAAGCCAACTCACTTTTGTCTGCATTATGGGGTTTTTCTCCTGCTTTCTCTTGCCTATCCTTGCTTGGCCTTTATCAGTTTAGTAAACATCCTGGTGGAGGCCTCCTTAGTAGAGTGCATGCAATCCTGCTAGGGTAGGACAGGTCCATCATTAGTCTAGAAGCAGCAGCCTTTGCTTACATTGTCTACCTGTGATATAGGCATCTGGATCCTTCTTGGAAGCCTCTGCTCTCTCATGGGCTCTAGAAGTCATATACTCCCAAAATTTTCTACCATTTCATTTAAAAAATTTTTTAAAAACCTTTGTATATATGAGTGTTTTGTGTGATTGTATTTGTGTGCATCACATGAAATCAGTGACCTTTGGTGGTTACAAGAAAGCATTAGGTTCCCTGAAACTGGAGTTGTATGCTGCCCTATGGGTTCTGGGAATCCAATCCAGGTCTTCTGGAAGAGCAGACAGTATTATTAAACACTGGACCATCTCTCTAGATCCCCTGGAACCCATTTAATTGTTGTAAGGAAAAAATTTATATTTTTTAGCTTTCTACATCCAAAATAGAAACCAAACTCAAACCAAAACAAAACAACAAAAATAAAACAAATAAGAGGCAAAAAACTCAACAACAAAAACAACCTGACTTTTCAATCAAGTTCCAAAGGATTTCAATGGATGAAGGATGTGTCTTCAATTAGTGATGCTGAAATGATTATCTACTTATATAGGGGAACAATGAGCCATTCTGGGTATATATAAATGTATTCAAGATATCAATCTAAATATAAAAATAAGATTACAAGCCTTCTAGAGAAAAACACTGAAAAAATCTTAATGATATCAAAAAATGAATAACAAAAACATACAAAAATATTGACAATAAAAGTAAAATGGTAAAAAATGAATATTAAAATTAGAACTTTGGATTTTTGAGACAGGATTAGAAAAACGAATAAATGCAGCTATAATCTAGAAAAATGTTTGAAATATATGTTTCTAACATGTGGCTGCTATTTAGCTCCTACAACTCAACAGTGAAAGAACAAATGATTCAATTAAAAATTGAGTGGGCTTCCTCTCAAAGGAATCAAGATGAATGGTCAATAACACATGGCACAGTTTGTCATCATGAGTCAGTGCAGGACCACGGGATACTTGTTATGGCACCCATGCAAATGGCCAAAACTTAATAAAGCGCTGACACCAGAAGTTGAGAATAAAAAACAAAACAGGACTTCTACACTGCTGGTGGGTGGAAAGAATGTCACAAGCTCTAGGAAACTCGAATAGAAGTTCCTTTCAAAGTTAACCACTTACTCTTTGGGATTCACACCCTATATATTTATATTCTCATACACAGACAACACATGCCTGTAATTCTGACACTGAGGGGACAGAGCCAGGTGGACTGCTGTAAGTTCAAAAACAGACCAGTCTACAGTCAACTCTAAGCCATTGAGATACTGTTTCAAAAACTAATTTGGGTTTTAAAAAATTCTGGTGCAAATCTGTTCCTAATAGCTTTATTGATGATGAGAACACTAAAAGTCCTTGAGTCTATCCACAGGAGAATGAGCAAACAAACTTTATTAGTTGATCCAAACATAAGAAAAAGTAAAATCACTGAAACTGAGCAAAACACTAAAAGGAAGAAAAAAGAATCCTTTGTTCTAATATTCCAGAAAGAATGGGAACACTGTTGTTCGGGAAAGGGGGCCGTGTGCAAAACTAACAGGCCTGAAGGTTTGGTAAGAAAGTATTCTATCTATTGGGCCGTGGAAGAAGATTCAGTCAGAAAAGTGTTTACTACTCAAGAATGAGGACCTGAGTTTGAATCCCTAGCACCCACATGAAAACTGAGTACAGGGCTCACCCATAATCCCAGTGCTAGCAAGCAGAGATGGGAGCCTTTAAGTTTGCTGGCCACCAGTCTAGCCTAATCACCAAGTTCCAGGATCAACGAGAGACTTTGCCTCAAAAATTACAGTGGAAAGTGTAGTCAGACTCGACTTTTTGAACTGTCAGCTCACAAAAATGACACAGAGACTTCATATTAATTATGAAAGCTCAGACTATATATTAAGCTTGTTTCTAATTAGCACTTATAACTTAAATTAACCCAATTCTATTAATTTGTGTGCTGCCACATGGCACATGACTTGCTACCTCATCTCCTACATGTCATGCTTCCTCTGTGTCTTCTCATGACTCCACCCTTCTTCCCAGAATCTTCTGTGCCTGGAAATCCTGCCTAGCATTTTATTGAACCAACTAGAGTGAAACTTCTTCACAGTGTATAAAAAGATTAC